AATTGCTGGATCGTAGGGCAGGTCTATTTTTAATTCTTTGAGGAACCTCTACACAGTTTTTCAGAGTGGCTACTCCAGTTCAGATTCCCACCAACAGTGTAAGAGGGTTCCCTTTTCTCCGCATCCTCTCCAACATTTGTGGTTTCCTGCCTTGTAAATCTTTAGTCTGATATAAAAATAAGTTGTAAGAAAGGGAGACAGAACATGAGAGACTCCTAACTCTGGGAAACGAACTAGGGGTGGTGGAAGGGGAGGTGGGCGGGGGGTGGGGGTGACTGGGTGACGGGCACTGAGGGGGGCACTTGATGGGATGAGCATTGGGTGTTATTCTATATGCTGGCAAATTGAACACCATAAAAAATAAATTTATAAATAAAAAAATGAGTTGTAATGAAAAAGAAAAAGGAAAACAAAAGACCCTCTAGTTCTATATACTATTTTCCCTTATTTCTGGAGCTTTCCAGTTCTGCTTGATCAATAAAGTTGCTCTTCCCTTGTTCTTCTAGCTGGTCTGGGGTAGGGGTCTGCTGTACTGATTCTCAGGTGTCTGTTCCTGGGCAGAGATGCCTGCCCTTGCCTGATTCTGGGCTGAGTATGAGCTTTTTATTCTCTGAGGCCTTTATTGCGTAGAGGCCCTGCCTCTCCCAGGCATAAGTTGAAACAAAGAGGAGAAACAACAATGGTGGTGGTCAGATTTCCAGCTCTGGAGTTGATCTTCCCACGAGTAACTAACCATAGTCTCCAGTCCTCACTTTCAGAGATGCTCCCAGGAGCAGGCACAGGTACAGTGATTTGTAAAGTTGGGGGGTGCCCAGTGGGAGGAGAGTTCTTGCTTTCCTGTGAACTCCTTGCTTCCGTGTGTCCCTGGGGAATGTAGGATCGCCAGTTTTGTCCACTTGGGCACCCTGGAATCCAGGGCCTTGTGCTGCTGGACCTGCACTCCTGGGGACCGTCTCTCCCGAAGATAATGGGGGCACAACCACCTCAGTCCACAGCTGGCCTACCTTACTGACTTGCTTCTTCCAAATCCCCCAGAGGGCTGTGTCGCTCCAGCCCATTACCATTTTCGGACCTTGGTTTTGTAGTAAGCTTTCCCTGGTACCTCTCCTCTTATAGTGACTCTGGGAATCTTGAGGCTTCACTGCCCCTCCTAGGATTCTGCCTGATTCCCCTGCTAAGCACTTTTCCATGAGGGAAAACTCTGGCATGGATTCCATTCTGATATCAGCTTTTTCTCTATAGACAACACTCTATTTCTTGGTTTGCCTCTCTCTCTTTTTTCTACCTTTTTTCAATTTTTTACATTCCACATATGAGTGAAGTAATATGCTATTTGTCTTTCTCTGACTGACTTTTTCACTGAACATAATACTCTCTTAGTTCCATCACTGTCATTACAAATTGCAAAATTAAATTTTTTTATGGCTGAGTAATTATATATCTTCTTTATTCTTTATCCATTCCTCTATCAGTGAACACTTGGACTGTTTCCATGATTTGACTCTTGTAGATAACGCTTCTTTAAACATCTAGGAGCATGTACTCCTTTGAATTAGTATTTTTGTATAGTTTGAGTAAATACTTAATAGTATAATTGATGGACCATAAGGTAGTTCTACTTTTGAATTTTTGAGGAAACTCCACTCTCTTTTCCAGAGTGGCTACACCTGTTTGCACTCCTACAAACAGTGCAAGAGGGGTTTCCTTTTCTCCACATCCTTGCTAATACCTCCTGTTTCTTGTGTTGTTGATTTAGGCTATTCTGAGACATGTGAGGTGATAGATATCTCACAGCAGTTTTGATTTACATTTTCCTAATGATCAGTGATGTTGAGCATCTTTTCCTGTGCCAGCTGTCTCTATGTCTTATTTTTTAAAATGTCTTTTCATGATTTCTGCCCATTTTTAATTGGATCATTCGTTTTTGGGGGGTATGAAGTTCTATAAGCTTTTTATAAATTTTGGATACTAACTTTATTAGATATGTTATTTGAAAATATCTTCTCCCATTCAGTAGATTTCCTTTTAATTGTGGTGATTATTTCCTTCTCTGAGCAGAAGTTTTTATTTATTTGTTTGTTTATTTGTTTTTATCATTTTTTTTAGAAAGGGGGAGAGAGAAAGATGAGGAAGAGGGATAGGGAGAGAGAGAATCTTAAGGTGGCTCCATGCCCAGCATGGAGCCCAACAACAGGGCTCAGTCTCACAACCCTGAGATCATGACTTGAACTAGAATCAAAAGTTAGACACTTAACCCATGGTGCCACCCAGACACAAGATTCATTTTTACAGGTCATGGACTTGGAATGTCTTTCCATTTATTTGTGTAATCTACAATGTCTTTCACAAACGTTTCATAGTTTTTAGAGTAGAGACAATTCACCTCTTTGATTAGGTTTATTCTTAGGTAAATTAATGAGTTTTGACGTAATTTTAAATGAGATTGATACCTCGATTTATCTTTCTGCTGCTTAATTATTGGTGTATAGAAATGCAACAGATTTCTGTATGTTGATTTTGTATCCTGTGACATTACTGAATTCATGTATTAGTTGTAGCAGTTTTTTTGGTGGAATTTTTCAGGCTTTCTATATATAATATCATATCTTCTGCAGATAGTGAAAGTTTGACTTCTTCCTTATTGATTTGAATACATTTTATTTTTCTTGTGGTTGTTGTTTGATTGTTGAGGCTAGGACTTCCCGTACTATGTTTAATAGTATTGAGAGTGGGCATCCCTGTCTTGTTCCTGACCGTAGAGGAAAAGATCTCAGTCTTTCTCCAATTGCAGATGGTATTAGTTCTGGGTTTCTCATATATAGTCTTATGATATTGAGGTATGTTCCCTCTAAACCTGCTTTTTGAAGATTTTTATCATAAATATATGTTGTACTTTGAGAAATTATTGTTGTGCATCAATTGAAATGATCATATGGTTCTTATTATACTTTCTTTTATTAATGTAATATATCATGTTGATTGGCTTGTGAATAATGAACGACCCTTACAAACCAAGAATAAATCCGACTTGATCATAATGAATGATTTTTTAATGTATTGTTGGATTTGTTTTGATACTATTTTATTGAGAATTTTTGCATCAGTGTTTCTCAGAGGTTTTTGCCTTTAGTTTTATCTTTTAGTGGTGTGTTTATTTGGTTTTGGAATAAGGATAACGCTGGCCTGGTAGAATGATTTTGGAAGTTTTCCCTCCTTTTGTATTTTTTTTTGGAATAGTTTGAGAAGACTACGTATTAATTCTTCTTAACTCCTCTACTATCCAGCAATTGTACTGCTAGATATTTACCCAAAGAATACAAAAATACTAATTCAATAGGATACGTGCACCTCAATGTTAATGGTAGCATTATCTACAACAGCCAAATCATGGAAAAAGCTCTAGTGTTCATATACTGAAGAATGGATAAAGAAAATATGATATCCAGATACAATGGAATATTACTGGGCCATAAAGGTAATGAAATCTTGCCTTTTGGAACAACATGAATGAAGCTGGAAAATACCATGCTAAGTGAAATAAATCACAGAAAGATAAATGCCATATGATTTCACACATATGTGGTATTTAACAAAAAGAAAAACAAGCAAAAGGACTGGGGGGAGGGGCAAATCAAGAAACTGAATCTTAACTACAGAGAACAAACTGATGGTTACCAGAATAGAGGTGGGTTGGGGCATATGTTAAATAGGTGATGGGGGTTAAGGAGTACACTTGTGTCATGAGCAGCAGGTGTTGTATGGAAGTGTTAATTAGTATGTTGTACACTTGAAACTAATAGTACACTATATATTGACCAACTGGAATTCAAATAAAAACTTAAAAAAAACCTATTACTTCCATTTTACAAAGGAAACAGGCATAAAAATATTATATACTTGTTAAAGTTCACAATTCTAATAAGTGGTGAAACTAGGGTTTGCACCAGGTAATCAGATTTAGAACCCCTGCTTTTTCTTTTAAAATTTAAATTCTATTTGCCAACATATAGTATAACACTCCATGCTCATCACATCAAGTGCCCTCCTCAGTGCCTGTCACCTGGCTACCCTATCCCCCCACCCACCTCCCCTTCTGCAACCCTTTTTTTTGTTTCCAAGAGTTAGGAGTCTCTCATGGTTTGTCTCCCTCTCTAATTTTTCACACTCAGTTCCCCACCTTTCCCTTATAATTCCTTTCACAATCTCTTATATTCCATGTATGAATGAAACCATATGATGATTGTCCTTTTCTGATTAACTTATTTCACTCAGCATAATACCCTCCAGTTCCATCCATGTGGAATCAAATGGTGGGTATTCATCTTTTCTGTTTCCTGCGTAACATTCCATTGTAGAACCCCTGCACTTAATCAGTACACTGTATTGCCTTTATCTGTACTAACAGAATGCAAGTTGTGGAACAATGTATACAATATGATTATATCATGTAAATAGTGTGTTCTATGTGCCAGACACTTTTCTAATATTTCACATACACCAATTTAACCCTCATTGCATCTCTATAAAACAGATATTTTAATTTCCATTTCATCTATGAGAAAATAGAGGAACAGAGAAATTAGGTAGGATGCCTTATAATACAGTTATAAGTGTATAGTATGGGTTTGAACCCAGGCAGTTTTACTTCAAAGCAGATTTACTTGTGCTCATTTTGGTAGTACATACACTAAAATTGGAACAATACAGAAAAGATTAGCATGTCCCCTGTGCCAGGATGACACGCAAGTTTGTAAAGCATTCCATATTTTTTAAAAGCAGCCTTTGTACTTAACTTTCCTATTATAAGTGAACTTTTTCTCTTCAAACTGACCAAAAATAATACAGATCAAACTATTAATAGTGATTTCCTCTGGAAGGGAGGTAGCAGAGAGAAGGTGAAGATCCAATTTTACTTTTTTACTCTCTATATATCTATATGGTTTGACTTCTATTATGTGCATGAATTCATGTATTATTTGCAAAATCAAAAATAAATAAATCATTCACATTGTTAGAACTTGGAGTGGAGGCCACTGGCTGGCTGACGAACTCACAATTGTATGTAGTATGCTACATGAGGAGCGAATCTTTCTTTCACTAACACCACAAGGGTCTCTGGCTCAATGAGTGGAGTTAGATAGTAATTCTCATTATAAGAAAAAAAACTCAATCAGTCAGTCAATCACATATGCAAAAGGACAAGATAAAGTTTACTACCATCTTTAGAATATATTTTTTCCAAACCTACAAGTGTCTGGTCTATTCTTCAAAATGATTATGAACTCAGATAGAAACTCCTGAAGTAGACTTGGATGCATAAACAAAAATCTACATTGCTGATACTTTCAGCTTGATTATCAATAGAACTGCTGCTGCTGCTGTTGTTATTTTTACAAATAATTCTTTCAAATTAATTATCACAAATATCCTATATAATAGGTTAATTCAAATTTTGTATGTCATACCAACCAATTTCTTTTAGGTTATCAAAGACATCCTCTTATAAGACAGAGTGCATTAATTCAGCTTGGCACCAAAGTTACAGCTCATAGCAAATCGAGAAAATAAGTCATAATTGCATACCAGAAAGATAATGAAAATAATTTTAAAAATTAGATTTTCTATCACTGCTACCACAAATGAATATTAAAAGGAAATGGATATCTCAAATTGTTCCTAACCTAGACTCCTTCATTAGTTATGTCCCATCTCCTTTGCCTTTTTCACTTCTATATCCAAATTCTATCAGTCTCCTGTCCTAAATATCTTTGCCTTTCACTACTGTCATTTCATTTTTGTATTGCTGCAGCTGCTTCCAATCTTGCTCCCTTCAAATCCACTTGACATGCTAGATTGATCCACCTTTCATGCCTACAGCTAAATCCTTCATGGTGTCTAATCATCCATGGATTATTAATAAGAGATATAATTTATTGAGTGTCTCATAAGTGAAAGATGCTCTCAGACAACATCTGTACTCATTTAATCTTCACATTAAATCTGAAAGTTATGGTTTTCTGCATTTTTATAAACAAGAAACAGCCTTGAAAATACTAAAAGTCAAAATCTGACATGAAACCTGAAGGTCTATATGTTTTTTCCTGTTTATTTCCTCAGTTTCTATTCCTGTGACTTGCTCTTAAAAGCTCCAATTACCACATTGCTTCATGACTGTTCCTTTCACCTTAAACTTCTTTATTCTTATAATTTCCTGGCATATTATACATCTTTCAGGTTTCTGATTAGGTCTCACTTCTTCAGGGATACATGCCTTGACCTACCTAGCATGGTTTAGGTTTCTCTACATTGCATTTACCACATTTGATCAGTTATCACCCTGTGAGTCACTCAAAGGTAAATGCTTCATCTTATTCATATTTATATGCTTGTTCTCAAACTTTATACAAGCAGTCTGACACTTATCATCAATAATTATTATCATTTTCTGAACTACTGACATATCAGATCATGTGCCAAACATGTTACATACTTAATTCATTTAATCTTCACCATGATGCTGTCAGGTAGGCATCACTACTCACACTCTAATGATTGATAAAATGACATTCAGAAGAAAGTAATTTGCTAAAGATGCATAGTTATAAGTGGTAGAGCCTTGGAATACAAATTTGCCTAGCACATAAGCTGGTCCTTTACTGTCAATTTCCATTGTTCATTTTTGGCAAATCCAAAAAATCTTTTAAACATTATTGCTTTCTTCAGCCACTTGAAAATAAAAGCTATAATAATGAGCTACAAATGTATTGAAGAGGAAATGGACATTAAAGCATGAGGTCATCTTTTTCCACAGGGTGAATGGAGGAAGTACTAGAAGAGTTGGTGTGTATTGCACTCAATATTACATAAGCCAAAAGGTCAACTCCCAGAAGGAAAGCACGTTGTCCCCAAGAAAGGAGGGGCACTGGAGAGGGAAAGGAGGCACTTCAGTGGGCTAAGAAAAAAAAGTATCAAAGGCTGCTTTGGTGGTCCCCTCCCGTCCAAGTAAGCATTGGCACCATTTACTCTGTCCCTACACACTTAGGCAATACAAGTTTTAACTTCTCTCTTTCTTTACTCATCCCATTTTATTTTGGTCATTTTATTCCTCAGATGTCTCAGCCCTTCATCGCGGCTGCAGTTGCCAGACACAAAAGCTCACGCTTACCACCATTCTGAAGCAGCAGGAATACGGAATCCGTTAGTTCTACCATCCAGTTCTTCCCTGTGCCTCGCAGATGAGAGAAAAGAGGCCTTAACAGGAGTTTATTTTTTTTTAACAGGAGTTTATTACCCAAGAATTCTTCCCCTCCCCCCCCCCAGGCCTGCAGTCACCTGGCACTGGAGTTCCTGCATCACAAGGGCACTAGTTTCTCAGCCAATCCAGAGTGCTCAGGCCAATGGCCCTTAGCAACAGCTTTGGAAAAGGGCAGGGCCAGGCTTTGGAACTTTGCATAGCTCAGCCTGAAGCAGTAGTGAAGTGACTGATTCTGGGTTACTTCTCCAAAGTAGTCTTGTAGTGAAAATAATGAGCTCCATTAAAATCTATTACACCAGTGTGTCAGGGTCCAGGGAGGTAAGTGGAAAGAAAAGGGCCTTAGAAGGCAAAAAAGACTAAATACACTCTAATTGGGGACTTCAGGATTGTGCTAAGACATTACCATCCTCTTCTTGCCTTTCAGTCTTCACCTCTCACCTCTCTGGGGATGGGAAAGGCAGGGGAGAAAAAAGAATGTGGTTATTGCCCTCACCAAGGCTGTACTCTAAGAATTGACTGATCTGGGAAGTTTCTGGGTCCCGAGCTCAGCCAACTTAAGTATTTCCAATACTTCTGCAGATTTTTCAAATGGAAGAGATAAAGAACCCTGTTCTTTAGAAGAGATAAATAACACTGTTTAGGATAGGAAAGGGAAAATGTCAGTGAGTAAATGGCTAAAATCCTCAGAAAAGATTGAGTAATCATAAAAGATAAACTGGTAATTTCTAAGAAGAATATCCATTTGCATAGATAAAACATGTCTTAGATTACAGTTTAGATGAATTATGTTTACATTATAAGAGATGTTGTACAGCAGTGGTTTCTAACAGGAATATATTGTGAGCCACATATTTTATTTCTAGTAGTGACTTAAAAAAGGATGAGACTAATTTTAGTATATTTTGTTAAACTCAAAATACACAAAATTTTACTGTTGCAACATGTAACCAATATTTAAAGAGATATTATATAAATATATTATTCTTATATTAAGTCCTTGAAATCTAGTATGTATATTGTACTTATATAATATTTTATATTGGATTAGCCACACTTCAGGTGCTCAATAGTCACATATAGCTGGCTAATAGTTATAGAAGGACCATTATATAGTTAAGAACCTCATTCTGGAAAAAAAAAGAACCTCATTCTGCAAAGGTTTTGGAGAAGCATGAAAACAAAAGAATTTTGAATTGATTATAAATGTTTAACATTCATCACATGCCTTTTGTGTGTCAAGACACTATGATAGATGCAGGGAGCAATGAGATTTGATATCAGTCTAGAAAGAGTGCATTGCTTTTGTATAAGATTTATCGATTAGATTAGGGATTTTACCCAGATACTAAGAAACAACAATAACAAGAAGCACTTTTAAAAAGAAAATTATGGGCCTTTTGGCTATTTAACATTGTGATTTATGTTATCAGATATGGTACAAAGAGTCTGTAAGAGGGAATGACTCAAAATCAATAAGGACCACAATGTACACAGCAGAAGACTCACACAACTGTTGGTTTGTGACTCTCAAACTGTAACATAAAAATCATCTGGAGGGCTTGATAAAATATTCCTGAGAGCCACTCCCAAATTCTGTAGTTTTGGAGTGGGATAAGGCTGATGTTGCCAATTTTATAATCTACATTCAGACTAGCACTTGTCTAAGCAACTGTTCTTATCTTAATGAGGTTCCGCTGAAAAAGTTTTGAAAAAAAACCACTATTAATATGACTTAAATCACATGCACCATGCCTTCGCAATTTTTAAAAATAATGAGCCTTAGAAAGTAGAAATGTTGTATAATGGAATTTCAGAAACTTCTTAGCTATCAATTGCAAATAGACAGGGTTTTCTAACCATGACTGGATTGCATTTTTAAGTCATCAAACAAAAAGCCTTCTGCCATGCACCTTTTCAGAAATCATACTTGAATAAGCTGGAGTTTGTATTTGTCAAATTGCTTTTACATGTATTCTCATTCTAGTATCAGAGATTTTATTTGGCAAAATTGCCCAAGAATGTCATGTAAAATATGTAGAAAACTCAAATTTTAAAATTTATGGTATAGTTATTAACAAAAAATTGCAATTATAAAATATGATTAAAAGATAACTAATTAGGAATGCCTGGGTGGCTCAGCGGTTGGGCGTCTGCCTTCAGCTCAGGGCATGATCCCGGGGTCTCAGAATCAAGTACCGCATCAGGCTCCCTGCAGGGAGCCTGCTTCTCCTTCTGCTTGTATCTCTGACTCTCTCTGTATGTCTCTCCTGAATAAAAAAATAAAATATTTTAAAAAAGATAACTAATTATTACAATTTTACTTCTTGGTAGTGTTTCAGAAAAAAAGACAGTGTAAGAATATACAATCTTTCAGCAGATAATACAAATCTAATAGTTCATATAAGAGGATATAACAAGAACTCCACTTTCATACACTACGCTATTTTTAAATCGTAATCTCCTGATATACTTTATTTTCTCATTCTGTGGATTTTATCTCTGTACTTAGGTATCGTCTCTGATTATGGTTTAGCACATGTAGTATGTTTCTTCAAAATTAAAAACCTGGTATGTTCATTTCTTACACAGAGCTACCATAGATATTAGCATAAATTAATGCAGTGATGAGTTGAAAAGTGTGCTTCAACTGTTAGAAGAATGTTATACTACTTCATGTGCAGTATGAAATCAATATGGTAAATATATATATAGCCCATTAGAGATTTTTAGTTCTTACTGAAACCTTACTGTATTTCTTAATATACATATTAAACATATTTATATATTACATATATCTACTATATATGTACGTATGTGTTTATCACAAGAAAATTATGTAATTTTTGCTCCTCAAAGAAACACCACACTATTAAAAGCTATTCCTCTTCCATAGCATAATGGAT